CTTTGATTAGCTAACCTAACCTTCATAATTATCTTATAATTTTTTTTTAATCTCAATTTATTTATGGTGGATTCAAGCATAATATAGATGCTACTTCCATTATCTATTAAAAGTATAAAAATGATTTTATCCACTATTTTTACATCTATTTCAAGAAATTCATATTTATTATTATTATTATTATTTTAAGATGATACTTCTTTTTAAATCATCAACTTTAATTCTAGCTATATTTTTACATTCTTGATTTTTCTTTGTAATATTATTTCTTTTTTGAGATCTTTTTTGATAGTTGGTACTACTTCAACTAATTGACTAAAAGAAATGTTGGCTCTAGCTCTACAAAGATCTTACAATAAGTTATAAGGTTGCACCAAGTTAGGTTCATTTTTGTAACTTATCTTCTAATAAGACTTTTGTATCTCATAAATACTTCTAAATTCTAATGAATACCTAAATAGTCAAAAAGACTCTCTAACTTTATTTTTTTTATAATAGAATGACTTAAAACTATGTTTTTAATCAATTTTCTAATTAAGATCCATTAATGGGACTAACACAAGTCTTCATTGAAGTAAATATTTTAGTCAAAATTAGGAGTAATATATCGATTTTTTAATTTTTAATTTTTTAAAAAATATTAATATATTATCAAATTATTTATTTTATAATCATATAATTAATTTTTAATTTTTTCTATTTGTATTGTGGATTGATTGAACAACTCATAGTTCAATGCTTAAATATATGTGTATTGAATTTATGATAAGTCAATAATTTACTATGCAAATTAAAGAAAAAATATCAACTTCGACAATATGAACATGAAATGATGTATTCACAAGAAAAGAACTTTTACCTAATAGAATTCAATAACTTTCGTAAACTTAAATAAAAATACTTTAAAAAAACTTTCTAAATATTAATTTTGACCATATATAGTAATAAACTTTAAAAAATAATAAAATATTAAAATAAAGTGGATTCAATAAATAATTGATATAATTGACATTCAAATAAAGTTAAGTGTAGGATCATTTTAAATTTACCTTTTGATAGATTTAAAAGATAGTCATTTATAAATCATGATTAAAATCATATCCTAGCCACTAAAATGGTTGCTTAAGATAATAGACAAGGACATTTGGAGATTGGTATGTAAAATTGATAAGATAACTTTGAGCATTTATTAGAAACAAAAAAAGTTATTCTATTTGCTTTTAAAATGACTTTAAAAGAACTGTTTAGAGTAAGAATTTGTATTGGCAAATAAGATTTGTACAATAAAACTTATGACTTGCATTCTTCGTTGCTTTATGCATTTCAAGCAATATTTATAATAAAAATCTCTTAAATATATAATCCATTGTATGCAATCTACTTGTGTAGAAATTTATACCACTATGACAATGTAAATATGAGATATTTAATTAAAAGTGCAAGAAAATACTCAGTTTAAGTTACTTTTGAATTAATTAGAATTTTTATGATAATTGAAGATTTTCTCATTCAAATAAAATTAATGTTAGCATCTAAGTAGAATTCATAATGACTAAACTACAAAACAAAATTCAATCAAGATTAAGAACCAAAAAAAAATTATTACTAAAATTTCTTCATTAATTATCAAGTTGATAGCCAAGGAATATCAATGTGGTATTTTAGTTTTTTTACAAAAATTTTAAGTTGTATTGTGCTGAATTTTAGTGTGCATATAGAAGCTTTATAGCCATATTAGTGAAAAAAAATGTAATTACTTGAAAAATTAGATTAAGAGCTGCCTTGTTAAATGTTTTTGGTTAGAAGTGGGATTTTAAAGGAATATTTTGACGTTGTAAAGGAATAAAAGTAATTGAGAAATTATAAAAATTTACAACCATTATCAATTTAATAATTGAATCAAATGTTCAAAAAATTAATATTTTTATAATTTATATTATATTTAAGAATAAAAAATGTATATATAATTAAATAATATAAATATTAATAAATTAATAAATTAATATTAATCAATAAATAATTATTATTTTTATATGTAGATAATAATTACTTTATTTAATATATCTAAAAAGTACCAAATTAAGACATATACAAAATATTTGTACTATTTATTTTTATTTTTTAATATATATATATATATATATATATATATATATATATAATTAATTGATTAATGGCACTTCTTAAAATTTATACCACTTAATTAATATTTCTTGCCTAGTGTAAAAATATTTATTGAAACAAATATTCTCCTTTGGTTGTAAGTTTATAATCTAGCTTTTTGTATAATTAATACAATATAAATGTGAATTTTATAAGTGAGAAATAAAATCCTAATTTTGCAATCTAAGATTTGTAAGATTGCATCAATCTGTTGAAGGGCTTTCTATTCTACCATTGTTAGTAACATTATAGACTCATCTTACTGACCAAATTACTAAATTATTCTTTACATAAATGTATTTTACATACATTTTCTTTTTTGTTTGTTGTACCAAAAATTTGCAACCTTTGTAAATTTTTGAATTAAATCTACATGCCAAATGACAATTATGGTGTTGATTGGGTTTGATAATTATTGTAGATGAGGTTTTGATAACCCTTTAGGTAGGAGTTTGAGTACTCTAGAGCTTTTTATGGAGCATAATATGTGTTCCTTTGCATTTCAAATTTAAGTGAAATATTTGAAACCTACTAAAAAACACATGTGTAGATGACAAAAATAAAATTTTATAACTTAAAAGGCCATAGAAATTTAATTGCTTGTGATCTTGATATAATGTCCTCTTTGTCTTTTTGCAAAAAATCTATGATTGGCTTAACAAGCCATTTTGTCATGTATTAGATTTGGAAGCTTAATTGATTACTATTGAATGTAAAGCTTTATCAACACCATTTTTTTGGCATTGTGAAGAAAGCACTTCCTTTTGACTTAGAACATTTTTTTCTTTAATAAAGAAGATTTTTATTTAATTCATGGAATAAATCATATGAAGTATTAGCTATAATCAAGTTTATACAGTTTGCGGTGCTCAAAGGTGTATGAAGTTACAAAATAATTTGGCCACCATATGAATTTTTAACATGCTTTTTTGTTGTTTTTGTTCCTCTCTTTAGCAATTCTATTTATTACAAGTTAATACCAAGTTCTATGCATCCAACAAAAAGGTGAAGTACATTTATAAAAGATTAAAGTTAAACAAACCAGATTTTGCAAAGAATAATTACGCTCTATATATTGTGGTGCCATAGAAAGTATAGTTAATAACAAAAAAAACTCAAATCACTCACTCTCACCATGAACAATATATAAAGACATAAAATAAGTTAGACTCTTTAAATTTGGAATTGTACACTTACAACACAGTTTTACTAAAGTTCAACATATTTTGTGGCACCAACTGACTCTTCCAAGGACAAGGACAACAATTTGTAAAATGTGGCAATTCTAAACTTGAAGTTGTTATAAGCTACTAATTGTTTAAAGATAAGAATAAGTACCACAAATTAGAACTCTTAGAGGAGTTTGCAAAGTGCAAAAATATTTAAAAAATGGAGGTCACTTCACATGACTTGACAACAAATGCAACATAATAACAATATGAAAACTAAAACTTTGGAATTGTAAAATTTCATGATCTTGTAGAAATTGTGAAATTGTGCATAATTTATAAAATTTCCATCTACCAAGATTATAAATTACACAAGGTATGATGTTATATATATATATATATAGATGATTAAAATATATAGTTATTTTTATATTTTTAAAATCTAAGTATACTAATTATAGATATTTTATTTTTAAACTTGTTGTATTTTCTACAAACTACTTAAATTTGCATAAGAATATTGCAAGATTATATAACTAAGCTCTTTATTTTATTATTTTAATATAGCAAATAAATTATTAATGATTCTACTATATTTAATAAAAATATCTCTTTTAATTTATAAATTTAGTAATAAGACTTGTTTGTGTATTATATTTCTATAATATAGTATTTAAAGCACTACTATTTAGAATACTAAATTTGAATATTAAAAAATAATACTTCTACAATCAACTATTTAAGTAATAATATTAATGATAATTTTAGTTTAAAAAATTGTACATATACTTGTAGCATAGACAAATTCCTTTTCTACAAATACATATGATTGTTATTGACCATGTACTTCTTACAATTCACTAGAATTATCAACTCAATAATATATTCAATTGATATTTTATATTTGATAACATATTTTATTGTTTGAGTAATTAGACATTTGATATTATATTTTTATTCTCTAATCTGATACTCTTATCAAATATTAAAAAACAAAACAAAATATAGATTGTTTTCTTGGATCATCAAAGAGTCATTGTATTTGTGCTAACATCCATCAAGCAATTAGAAAACAATATTATAAAACTTTTCACCATATCAAGATACAATAAATTGATTAAAATTTTACAACTTGCCAATATATACAAAAAGAACATTTTAATTGATATTTATTCAATTTTATATAAGAGTACATATATATATGTATTTAAGGGAATGTTAAATAGACCCATGCTTTTACTAAATAGACTTATCTTGGATGAAAAATATGGTAATCATGATGAAAGTGGTTGGTTTTTATTGATTGCAGATTTAATGATGGAGAAATGAATCCAAAAATCATTATGCTTTTCATGATGGTTAAAATAGGTGGGTCAATTTAGTAAAAACTTGGGTCTATTTAACATTCCCTTATGCTTGTATGCACACATCCATAATACTTCTCCATTTTCACTGATTTGGTAATATTTCAAAAACTATATTCCCTTTCATATGTCTTCAATTATTCCTCTCAAAGTCATCACATTGACTATTTGCTGTACCAATTCGTGGTTTTTTTTATGCTTTTAAGATATTGGCATAAACTTCAAATATTTTCACCATCCATGAGTTGGGGTATCATCTTCAAAAGGTGTCCCTTCTCCTTCACAATTCTATCTTACCAAGATAATAAAAATACAGATCTTATTTAATAACTATTTAATATCTGAATCACAAAAAATAACCCTAACGAGTTACTTCCTTTCGATGCAGCATCTCTAAGATTTGCGAAAGGACAAAATAACTAACGAAAGACGTGACAAGTCACGAAATAAATAACAAGTCAGATTAACTAGCACTTCAGGGAGAATTTCATTCTGTAGGGTTATTTGTACATTGGAAATTTCGTCCAACATCCAAAGTTGCCCAAACGCACCGGGCAAACGTTTGCAGCTGACTAATAGAAGACAGCATTTTCTTTACATTTTCTAACTGGGAATAACAAAACTGAACTTGAAACCATTACTCAATTGGAAAATTCTCTCCTTTATACTGGATCTGGTTAAATGCCGAGGAGTGTTCCTTACACACTACGTACAAGTCAGCATCATTGCGTGCTTCCCTAGCCCATATAGTCTTGGTCTTTTCACATTGTTCCTATTGGACAGTTTTAATCCAGTCACTGCAAAGGCAGGTTGAATACAGTGCAAATTTAGTAAAGAAGAGGCACATACTAGTTCAGATGTTTCTCCTCAAACAATATGGAAAAAACACAACAATCGAGATTCAAGAGCTCAGAGCCAGAGCCACTCACCAGCATCAAATTTAGCGGAGAAAGTTTCACTTTCTGCTCGATTGTTTTATGAGTCAAGATTTTGAAATTGTCCCTCTCACGCTACATGACACTAAAACAGTAATTGTTAAACAAGTAATTCAAATTTTGAGCAAGACTAATTAGATACGTATAACTGCATTCAAAAATCAACCAAAAACTAAACTAGTGGTTGACAGAGTTCTTTACATAATGATCGACAGTAGCATCTAAAATCCAATTCGAAGAATTATAATTCTCACTTTAGATTTGCTCCGAAAGGCTTAGTTTCGGGGTTGATATCTGCAAGAAGTGAAAGTAATTAGCCCTCATTCTCAGATCACATAGAACATCCATCCCAAATTATCAGCAGCCCGTGTACATCATTACCTAAATTATATGATTGGTGCATATTCTCCAGCAATGATATGTTGCTAACCTGAAGCTGGTACTTCATATGACAATAAAGACTCTGAATATTTGGAGCCGGCTGGGAACGTGATGTGGTTACGCTCTGGAGTCAGCAACTCTGGATCAAGTCGATGTTTTCTGCTCATTCACGAAGAAACAATACGATCCGATAGCTTACTCATTCATATGCCGAAGAGAAAAAACTGATATTTTCAATAAGAAAAGATTTGTGAAGGCAGAAGTAACACGGATTGATGACAGACAGAAGGAAAAAGAAATATTCGACACAAATGAGTTTTAACGACCAGGGCAGTATCCGAACTACTGAAACTAGTTTGCGTTAAATCATGCACTATCATAGCAGTGTGAAATACAGGAAACTGCATTGAAAATAATAAAAGATGAATTTAGGCTGAAATCAGAGTTACAGAACACCAACCCACAATACATAACACACTTGCCGTCTGCAAGTGGCCAAATTTGACTCCGGCATACTCTGCAATCAACAGAAAAACAATGTTAATGCATACACGAAGTTAGTATAAATCTTGTAAGCAGGTACGAAGACAATCTTTGCATTCACTTGCATTTGCTCATATGGAGATTCCATTTCAACTGCCAGAATACATGCTACGAACTGATATTAGATGGTTAAAAGATCCATACTGTGGCAAGCATTTCTCATGCCATGCTACAGGACACCGCCTGCACTTGACGAGGTGCAGAGTAGGGTCTATTTTATTTTCATCCAAGTTGCAATTTGCACACTTGTGCAGGGGACAAGTAAAGGTCTCTAACTTCAATTGGATGCGACAAGCCAAATTGTTCTGTGCTGCTTCAGAAACAAGGAGTTTTGCCACACAAGCAGGATGGTAGAATCTCCTACATCGGTTATGATCACATACAAAAACCTGCATGCGGGAGGGGGTTGTAAGTACAGAGTTAGCTTTGGATCCAAGGAATTATTTAAAGAGACCATAAAAACTAGGCAAAAAAGGTCCGATCCATGCGATACATCACGAACAACCCAATCATTTAAAATTACCTCCTGCTCATCTGCTGACTCTGTGGATTTTCCAAGCTTTCCGCACGCAAAACATTGATGCTGCCCAACTTCACAGTTTGGGCAGATCCAAGTCTCAACCTGTAAGAAACCATGTAAGCTCAACACATGTTTACGTAGAGAGTACTCATAGTAAATAGCAACGTCCATCCAGGAGGAGTTTAATTGGATCTATGTCCCTTGCCAAGAGCATCAGGCCTAAAACACTAGCTATCTATAAGCATATTGGGAAGTGAGTTATCTTACACTAATGGCTGCTCTGGTAAGGCGAAGAGTTTTGCATTTGTTCTGCAAACCAGAGTCTATAGTAGGATGAAATGACCTCATGCATGGACCATCACAGCTGCATGATCACAGAGTACAAGTGCATGCAGAGCACGTTCATCAGCATACAAAAAGCGAGAGTTTGAAGCAACTACGAATATGTAGTCAACATTCAGAAGATAGTGGTGACATAAAAATGTTTCCTTTAAACTATGTATAATGATTAGGTCAATTTGCATGAACATCAGTTGTTCATTAAGGTAAAGATACTGTACCAAAGAAGTCGCTGACTACCTTCCACACCATCATCACAGAAAACACACACATCAGGCTCATCGGCCCAATCTTCATCTCCGCCAAGTTTGGCACTTCGCTTTCCCTTTCTGAAAGAGTTTCCACGTGCTGGTCGTCCCGGTTTTCTCTTCTTTGGCACTGGTGTCAGCCTTTTTGAAAGGGGAAGATCAGCCTCTACAGCAAATTCAGCAAGACTACGCATCCTGCGCATGGATTGCGAACTCGGTTCTCCATTCAGACTATCGTAAGCTAGTGAAGGAGATTCAACTTCATTACTGGAAGTGTTCTTTCCATTGCTTAACCCTTCACATTTAAGCGCCTCCGAAACAGGTGAACTTTCCCTTTTTACTCGCAATCTCTTCGCATCCGCATCCGAACCCTGACCTCAACAACAAACCGACTATTGCTCAGTACTTAATCTTATCAAAAATTGAACACATATCAGGAAAGAGAACGTGTTATGCTACTAACCACAGAGAAAAACAGAAAAATAATCCACATGCTCCTTTCACGAACCTTGGCGGATCGAGGTCCCCACTTCTTAAATAGTTTTGGAAAGAACTGTGATATAACCTGGAGACAAACCAACAAAGGAAAACAGGTTAAATAAATTAAAAAAACTCAACTTGTATAAGAAAGAATGTCATCCACTTCATTTACAAGCTATTTGCGCCTAAGTGAACTTAATTTAAGGGCAGTTTATCAATATCTAAAACAAAAAAAACAAAAACAAAAAAAAAAAAAAAAAAACTGGCGTTCAAAAATTGAAGGCATTGTCGTTTCGAAACTAACTAAATAATACAGTTTGAAGTTGCACTCACCGAAGATGCCTGTAATTTCGGATCGCTAGTCACTATTGCTTGGAGCAGAAGAAAAGCAGGAGATAAATCTTTCTGGTTTGGCTTCACTTTGAACTCACTGCAATTACAAGTTAACATGCAAATCAGCTTCTACGATAAGGAATAACAATACACATAAATAAGTCATCATGTACCAGACAAATGACTAGTATATACACAAAAAACATCCAGCTCGTTGTTTGAAGCCTGTAACTACCACGTATGACTTCGAAATGGTTGTTTTAACTTGCCAACTAGACCCAGCTGTCAAATTGTTGAAAAACCAGGTAATAATAATGTAAAGAGTGGCTTAAGTCCTATGTTTACTATCTCAATGCCAAAGGTCATATCATCAGTTATCAATTCAAATAACAGTATTAACCTGATTAAGATAGACAGAAGCCCAGACAAAGATTCTCTAGCAGAAGGATAGGCCGAGCATTGCAGCGTTGAGCCTTAAAAAAAAGTTGAATAGCCAGAAAGAATGGAATAGATCCTCGAAACATTAGCATGGCTCACCTACACTCTTTGCGGATGTATCGCCACACAGCACCTTTGGTAGATTCTGGGCTCTGCTTGGCAAATATCAAGAAATGAGCTGCAACAATAACCACTTTCATGGTCTCCAAGTAAAAGTCACGCGGTTTACGAAGCTCAATCCTAAAAGCGGACACAAACGCATCAGTGAACCCATCAATTGAGAACAGCTAGCTGCCTCCCATTGAAGCAGTTTGTGTCATCACTAGGAGACTTATTCAACAGAAATCGAAACCATCAAGTACATCGCTGTTGAAAGCATGAAACTTGACAAAACATGCGAAATCTGCACTACGCGGTAACATGCAATGAGTAATTATTTTCTTTATTTTGGTCGTCCAGACTTCTGGGGCTCACCATGCACCAGCTGCTTCATGAATCAAAAATTTTGGCTTGCCAACGATCGGAAGCTCTAATTTCCACAGGTCGATTTCAACAGATACTTCTTGAAGCCCATTGAACTTGCCCTGCACATACACTTTCTCTGCTTGCGACCGCTCCCATTGAATTTCGCGAATGGCAAATGGCAGCTGCATAAGCGAAGGATACTTGTCACCAGATGTCAGGAAAAAATCTTCAAAGAAATCTATAGCCGGCACAGTCTCCATCACCTGAAACACAAATAAATTTTATTCAGGCGTGTGTGTATGAGAGAGAGAGAGAGAGAGAGAGAGAGAGAGAGAGATTATCTGTAATTGAAAATGAAGGAATTGCATAAGTGTACCTGTAGAGTTCAAAGACCAAATTTGTGCCATATGATATACCCAGAACATTCGATTTTTATTTAATGTATGTAAATATGCATTTATGTATATTCAAGCCAAATTGAAGTGTACGTATGAGTAGAAGACATTCATGAAACCACGGCATTCTCACTAGCTCCTTCAGTGCATTATCACCAGTGAGATCGCAAGGTTAGAGAATAGTTACATCGGATGAACCCCACTAATACCAAGTCAAGAATTACGTATCAAGTAGGTCGAGATGGAAGAACACCGGCAAAGCTTTGAAAGTTCTTTTCGCTTCCAAAACACAGGTGTTAGGTGAGTCCCTGGTTGAGCCAGATCACCAGAGTGAATACGATACGGTGTCAAGTCAGCCCCGAAAACCATATCCACGCCGGTCGCAATATATTTTCGGGGAGAAAAATTGGATAAACCATGAACCCGTACAGGCCATGATGCACTTCATTCACATTCTCTACAGCAGGAATATATGAGCTGTACAGGATAAGATTCGCTTATCACGATGAAATATTGGTTAATGAAGGATGTTGGTACACGGTAAAAGTCCACGAAGGTAAATTCTGAAACAAGAAAAGGAATCAACTAAGAATTGGCATACGAGGAACATTTGAGACAATGATGAGCAGCGTACAATACACAAAAGAATAAATAAATTAATAAATAAAAACAAAAAAAGTAAAAGACAAACTCTGCTTCAAACTCAAACAAAACAACACATTGAACGTGCAAGCTGACTGAGCAGAGAATAGAATGCACTTCTCCAAAAAGAAAACAGAAAGTTTATGAACCTAATCAGTCGGCCAAAGGATGCACCAATGCATGGAAAAAAACTAGACATTGCAACAAAAAAAACTCGACAACAACGTAATACAGCACTCTGCGAATCCTGCTAGCTAAGGCCCCACCAAACCAACTCCACAAACCAATGCAGCCCAGCTGAAACCCGACATCATGCACCCACAGGAACGCACTGGATGAACTCACCTCCAATGTACGGCAGTGACAAATGCCAATCACACGCGAATTCTTCTCTCCTCCACTCAGCTCGCCTCTCGATGCAATTCAAAGTGCCACCACACTCCTGCACTCAGAATCAGAATCACACACGTAAGTATTAAAAAACACTGATAACAATAATAATAAAAGACTAGACCCCATTTCGCACTCTACATCCTCACCACAACCTCAGAATCATCCCAAACGTCCCCAGACCATACACACAAGCCGACCTAAAGAAAAAAAACACACGCACACACACACACACACGTCCATCGGTAAGCACCACATAGGAAGACGTCAAAACCCTGACGAGGAACGCAAAACGCCACCAAAACTTGGGAAGCAGCAAACCGATCTCAAAATGCAAGTACTCCGCATCTTACCAGCACCAGGCAGTGGCGGCAATACAAACACACCGATCTCAATTCGACGCATTCGTCATTATCTCTTCTGCAATGAATGAAGCATCCCCCGAAAACACAATGACACGATAAAAACGTAATTTTCTAGTTTTAAATTGGGTAAGCGTGCAAGGCTACACTCGCACATTCATTCCTGCTACCTCAACCCCGATTCATTGAATGAATGTCCTCGTCCATCCTCTGATATTCGTCCGACTGTTTTCCTTCGTTCGACGTTCCCTTTTATCGTTGGGTATTTCTCGTTCGTTCGTCCACCTTTCCGTCCATCCGTCCGTCGGGGGTTTAGGCCTGTAGTGAATTATCCTTAAGCCCCATTCTTTAAGACTAGATCCAGTTCTGCCACAGTGGTACTGAGCATTGGCTTGGGTACTAGATTGTGTGGTCCCTTGTACTAGAGCCCCAAAACAATGGAATAAATGACTTGGTGAATAAAAATGACAAGTTGGCATCACAGTACTAAAGTCACGTTTCATTTTTATACTTGGTGTGAGAAAATTGAAGACGAGGTCAAAAAATAAAATAAAATACAACAATAACTTTCAACTTCCACATCAAAAGTTACATTTCTAAAAAAAAAATCAATGTCTATATATATATATATATATGTATATATATAATTCCTTTCTTTGTAATTTTTTTTGGAAAAAAATTCATGTTAACTTGAAACCTTGGCTTTATGACAAAATAATGGTAATTCAAAATAAATTAATTTATATTCATCAAATATCATTTGCACATATATATATATATATATATATATATGTATACAAACATTACATCAAAGTTAGATATGAAGATCCACATCCCATGGATTTTAATTGTATTGTATATCCCATAGAAACATGGTGTTTTTTAATTTTAGTTTTGTTGCTATAATGTTATTTAAAATAAACAAACCCCACGGGATAAGTAATTCTTTAAGTTCGTAAGTCATTTATGATTCCAATGGATTAATATATTACTTTCAATTATGATTCCAATGGATTAATATATTACTTTCAATCAAAGTTAAGGATTCTAATCAATATATATATTAAAAAAGAGTATTTTTTACATGTGTGCTTCCATCTAAAAGTGCCATACATTTCTTTAAGTATTTATCAATCTATTAGATCAATTAAAAAAATCACCATAATTATTAGTCAATTCTACTTCCTTTAAATAAATATCTCAAAAAAAAATTAAAAATAGATAGTGATCCAATAATTAAGTTTGATTTTAAAACCCACACTCAACTAGTTTTAATTGTATTATCTATTTTCCATTGTGTAAAAGATATTTAAAGTTTTTGATTTTAATTTTGTTGCAATTACTTTAGAGAATTATTAATGCAACATCTCCAATTAATATTATTACACCTTGCATGACGTTCTTGTACACAACTAGCTAATAATATGCTTCCAATTGCTTATTATAATTATTGTTGCAATAGTAGACATTGCATTTTTTTCTTTATTTGAACTAGATGGATTCTCTTAACACAATCGAAAATGGCAATAAAGAATGTATTAGCTATGGCAATTTCTTAAGTAGGTTTGTGTAGTTGGAAATGATAACATTTCTTAAGAAATGTACATGTCTATCTTATGTCATATTCTAGATTTGAACTTTTGAGCAAAGATATTAGAAGTGAAAGTCTTCTTACGACACTTTTTTTGAAATTACAAAATTAAAAGGATGTGAGTGTAGCAAAATTACAAAGAAATTGTGATAACAATTAAGTCTTGAAGTACATCTTTTATAATTGATATTGCAATTTTTGTTAACTTTTTAAAAAAATTATGTGAGTGAAGAATGCATTTGATTAGATATAAGTAATGCAATAAAAGTAGAATAACACAAATACCTTGGTCAAATTGCTTTGGACATAAAAAAAACAAAACAAACAAAACATTAAACAATAGACATGTGTAGTTGTTGTTCCAATATTATATATTGTTGTAAATTTCATTCTAAAAAATATTACTATATAAAATTAAATATAAATAGTATTAATATATATATCTAATTTTTGAATTAAATATAAGTAAATGATATATTTTTTAATTATTATATAATTATATTAAAAATATATATATAATATATAATAATTACAATTAAAATATAAAATTTTAAAAAGTTAAAACAAATAAATATCATCCACTATTGAATGATAATTTTGTAATATCTATTTATAATATTAATAATTTGGATACTTAATTGGCTAAAAATGAATCAATTCTTAAGCTAATATAAATAAATAGTTAATTTTTTAAATTTCCTAGTCACGTGCTAAAATTGTATTAAAACCTTAATTACTTTATATGATCAATATCAAGATTTTTTCAATTATTATTGTGTATATATTTTTTTTGTTGATGTATGCATTTAACTGTTGCATCTTTTTGTCTATTTAGTTATTTGAAGTAAATATAATATGGACAATGAGTATAAGGCCAATAAATGATAAATTATAAACAATTATATTACTACTTTGATTAGCATTGATTACCAATAAGATGAAGTTGTTGAAACAACTCAATTTAAAGATGTCCAAATTATCTCCAAAGACAATCAAATTGGTATCACAGCAATCCTATAAAGTATAAAAATTTTCAAGCAAAAGCCAATTTAAAAAAATAAATATTTATTTTAGATATGAATATATTTTAAGGTTTTCAATGGTTGTTTAATATGCATAGAATGTTAGTTGATAAACACTCAAAATATGCATTTGTGCCCCCAATCTACCTTAAATAATATTTTTGCCCATCATTTCAAAATCACCTATAAGAATAAAAAGATTCTTTGTAGTGCTTGTAATTAGATTCAAATAATATTATCTAATATAAGAGCTTTAGATTTGTATATTATTATGGAAGATGACCAATGCTCTAAACTATTAAAATCTTTGGTGTCTTGGATTGCAAACAACAAACAATTATTTAATGTTGTGAAGAAGTTAATCTTCAAAAATCTTGTATAGACACTTTATTAGAATTACATAATTTCATGTCATTGGACACCATGAAGGCACTTAAAGATGAGTTTGTTATTAGCTACTAAAAATTTTGTTCTCAAGTGGATGATATCATGTTTTGCTTCATATTACTTTAGATTACTTGTCATATAAAGTGTTTTGTAGATATATCAACATTATCATTACCATCTACAAGGTGATTGAATAATAAAAGCCATATTTGGTAATCTTAGAATTTTAATTTAATTTATGCATTTGTACAACTCTACAATTATAAATAATATTATTGATGATTTGCTTCAAAATTTGGCAGGTAACATTGTAATGTGGATATCACCACCAACATTGGCATTGAAATGTCAAATACAATGTAATTTTTAGAAGAGCCGGTGCACAATAAATACTTAAATTTATATTGTGAGAATTTCTACATTTAATATTTTTTTCATATCATCAATAATGCCATGAAAGACACAAAGTTGTATACATAAAAAGTCATTGACATTATTCAAGAGATGTTGAAGCAGATTTATAGCAACAATGTAATGCAACTTAAATTCTATACAATCGAATTTTTCATATGTTGTACAAATATTGTTCAAGCACCAAGACTTGATGTAACAAGGATTAGAACTTATTGTTTATCATAGTAAAAATTTGCTACAAACAATATATTATATTTAATGTTTTGTGTAATATAGATGCATATTATACTCTAATGCTAGATTACATTTTTTTTTGAATTCTAATGGCATATCCTCAAATTATTTTGTAATTTTATTTTTTCATTGCCAAGGTCTTGATCAATCTAGCTTCATCCAAGTCATATGTCATCATATCCTTCCAATCTATTATTTCCAAATTGTTTCTTATCCACTACAATAACACTATATTTGATTGTTGTTAAACATATTTTACAATGTTGTGGTATTATAATCAAAGATATTAGCTATTATAATCAAGATGAAGTTTTTGAGGTAAAAAGACTACATGATTGGTTTTTTATTCAAGCTCTCTTTAATTATTAATACTGAAAATATTCTCTTTGTCAAGTATAGCATAATACTAATTGATCTTATAAATATAAAAAGTAGATAAAACTAAAATATATCAATTTTTAAATAAATAAATAAAATATTAAGATAAAAATCAAAACAAGGTTTTTTACTATTTATAAATTATTATGAAATTTATGATGAAATTTATTAAATGATGGAAATCTTTCTAGTTCAAATCATTTTAAGTTTTTGGCTTGAAGTTTGAAATATGTGTTTTGTCATAATTAAATGTTTAATTCCCTAAGACTTGACATTTTTAAGAACAAGCAATTTATAAGGCAAATATGCTCCAAAATTTATAACAAAAATTTAAAAATGAACATGTTGATCAAAGAAAAAATATCATACATGCCCTTGAAATATATTAAAATATTAAGAATATCCATGTATTCTTGCTAATTTTAGATTATTCTTAATTTTTGTAATAATTGCAAATCTATCCTTTAATCTTATAAACTATCACATTTATTCTTTTTTTAAGTGCAATTGAGATTCAACTTGTATACTATAAACAAATTTGTGGGCCTTCTTCTACACTTTTTGGCACAAAATATACAAACTATAATAATTCTTTGTTGATTCTTATTTGATTTTAATTATTCTTCATAGTTGAATTGATTGACAAAAATATTGGAGCAAAAAAAAAAAACAAAACAATAGGTAGTATTACAGAAATTACTGCCTTCATTGAATTTTGTAGTAGAATGCTTGTTGAGGATTTTTTTTACAAGTTATGCTGAATTTGAAACTCTCTGAATTATGAATCTCAATTTTTGACTTCTTCAATGTATAGAAATACTTCAACCACTTGCAAAAAAGCTCTATTGAGTTGTATGTGGATTTAAAGCGACTTGATCATGGAACATTTGTATCAACAAGATTAAAAATATATGGCACTTGTGATCATGCCAAAAAACTTTTAAAAGGAGAGTCAATAGTTTTAGATTAATCAAAATTTGGTTATTGTGGCAATTGCAAATTTAAAAGAATATACAAAGTTTAAGATATACCTTTGAAAATTTGCTAGGTATGCTACATTAACAAGCATTTCCTTCTCATGTTGGTTTGGATTATGTGTCCTCAAGCAATCGCATTTTGAACAATCATATTCTATTAGTTTTTTAATAAGTTGGTAAATCCAAAGTTGTATATAAGTATAGAGACATATGTAAAGTTGATCCAATGGTTTCAAAAAGGAATACATGCTGATCAGAATGTCAGCATAGTAGTATTTTGGCAAGTATTGGATTGTATTTATTATGCTATTCTAATAGTCTATTGAAGATTAGACCTCCAAAGAATATTCAAACCATTTATTGTAATTTCTTAACTGGAAGTGTAAGTATCACAATGATGAAAATTCCTTGAGCTACTCTTATTGTTCATCCCTTCAATTATAATTATTCAAATCTAAATCACCTTAGTATTTTTCTACAAGCATCCTTCAAAACAATATCAAATTATCTCTTTTTACTTTGAAAAGCATTGTAAACAACTACTAGATTTATCCAACAAGAATAAGAGATAATCAAGACACTAGTATGATTACAAACTAATCAATTCTAGTGTCTCTTCTTCCAACTCCTCCATTTGTTGCCACTTGAATAAGAAAATTGCTCACTCTTGAAAGATGCCAAAAAGTGTGGAAGGATGCTAGCCAATATCTCTATAGTAAGCATATTGGACCTCAATAACTTTTGATACTGCATCATAATTTTTAGATTTTTTTTCAAAATATCATTTTAAAAAAAAGATGAAACTATAAACATATACATTTTTTGATACATAAATGTGGGGTTTTTTTTATTATTATTATTTATGTCTAGTTGTATAGGTAAACAATACAACCAAAACGTTCAGTTTGTAAATATATTTTTATTCTTCATTTGTTCATTTAGAATACCACAATTGCATTTTCCTAATGACAATTTGAGTTGTAGAAAATAAGTAGCAGTTGCTGATATGATATTCAAATAAAAACTGTGTAATTTCACTGCTATCAAGCTTAACCATGACTTCTAACACTACACAAGCCAGGGTTAATCCCTATGAAAGTAAATATCATGCACTTGTAATTCATACACTGTATTGTACATGTTCTCATTTGCTTTGACATCATACAGAAATGACATTTGTTTGATTCTGGTTTATTTGTCTAATTTTGAATTCATTTTCTATGTACAAATATTAAAGTTGTGTGAATTTTCCATATTGCAGACATAAATACTTTTATTAACTCGCTAATATAGCTAAGACTTAATAAATATTTAACAGAGTATAATAAAAGTAATGGCTCCTCTATTTCTTAGTTCTAAAGTTCTTTAACCTCACACATTTGATTTGATTGAAGCATTGCCATTTTGTTTTTTTGTCACTACAACATCTAATTTGTAGCAAATACTCAAGGAAACACTGTGCGTTGCACTTTATAATCACTGTGTAAAAAATAAACAACAATGTTGCATAAACCCTTTATCTCATGCAACTTTGAAAGTCCCATAATAACTAAAAATGTATTATAAACGTTGTTACAGTCATGAATATCCAGTACAGTAGTTTTTGCAATTGGTCGATTTTCAGCATGAATTGCAATTTATTAGACTTGTGACATTGTATACATTGTAGACTTTCTGATTTGCAGGAGTGCAGTGCACAACATTTTATTCTAACAGCCAATTTTGTCATACAAACACACATGACACTTAAAATATAAATTTTGGTTTCTGTAAGGTGCATGCCACAGGAAAATGTTCCTAATCATGCAAAAGATGTCTTCAAATAATTTCAACAATAAAAAAACGAAATAATTTTTCTTACTTTTTCAATAAACCTATAGCACATGAATTGTTAAACTTACTTTTTGAAACATACAATAATCTCAAAAACCCTTAATTTTTATTGACGTTTCTATCTTACATTAAACATTTATTTGTGCAACATGCGCTTCTCCACTTCTGTTGTAAATTATATTTCATTCTCGAATTCATGTATGAGTCAAAATTAGGGTATTTTAATCTCATTAATGTTTCCTCATCTGTTCAATAAACCCAATAAAAACCAAATGGTTGAAGTTTCGTAAAGTAATGCATGGGAAGTTTCAAAATTCCAGGGAACTAACCCTTCATCATCATCAGTTTCAACACTTGCCCAAAGAGGCCTGCCCGAGAGCGGGGGCAGGAGCTGCCCGGGAGGAATTAGGGTTGGGGGAGTCGGGAGGTGCAAGAAGGCCACGGAGCTGCATAGTAGCCCTCTTTTCCAAGCGCCATCGGTCGAGCCCCCTCGCCTAGACCACTCCCACGCTCCTCTGCCGCGCCAACCATGGCTGTCGCGCAACCTGAAGTCAAGCTTTTCGGGCGCTGGTCGTTCGACGACATCGAGGTTCGTTTTTTTCCCACCACTTCAGCCTGTCTTCACGTTCTCTGCCTAACTGTTTTGTGGAACGCGGGGTTTAGGGTTTTTCGGTGGCAAGGTTTTGAGGGTTTCGTGATGGAGTGGTGCGCAATTGGGACTCGGTCGCGATCTGCGATGCGGTCTGCATATGATGGGAGTGTGTTAGGGCGAGCTGACGGTTTGGAGTCGCGTTGTTTGTGTCGGGTGTGCAGATTAACGATATCTCTCTGGCGGATTACATTGCCGTGTCGGTGGACAAGCATGCCACCTTCGTGCCCCACACCGCCGGGCGGTACTCCGTGAAGCGTTTCAGGAAGGCGCAATGCCCCATCGTTGAGAGGTTGACGAACTCCCTGATGATGCACGGGCGCAACAACGGGAAGAAGTTGATGGCGGTGCGCATCGTGAAGCACGCGATGGAGATCATCCACCTGCTGACGGACCAGAACCCCATCCAGGTCATCGTGGATGCCATCATCAACAGGTAGGTTATCTCGAACACTTGTTTAGCTGCATATTGGGGGGAGAGGCGGGGGATGGGCGCATGGGCGGGAGGAGAGGTTGCAACAGGAATTTAGGGTTATGCGGGATGATGTGGGGCTCGGGAGCTGAGAGGTCGCGGTGGGAATGGGTACAGTGGTCCTCGTGAAGACGCAACGCGTATCGGATCCGCTGGAGTGATCAGGAGGCAGGCCGTGGATATTTCTCCATTGAGGAGGGTGAACCAGGCGATCTACTTGCTGACGACGGGTGCGCGAGAGTCGGCGTTCAGGAACATCAAGACGATCGCGGAGTGCTTGGCGGACGAGTTGATAAACGCGGCCAAGGGTTCGTCGAACAGGTAGGAGGTGTTGGGATTGGGGCGAGGTGTGTGAGGGGTGGGATGCATGGAGGGAATTGAGTGATATGGTGGATAGTGAATGGATTTTGTGGTGGAATGGAAAAGAAATGGGATGTTGAGGGGATTGACATAGCGTGGTTGGTTGTGACAGCTACGCCATCAAGAAGAAGGACGAGATCGAGCGTGTGGCCAAAGCCAATCGTTAAGCTAGTATCAGGATGGTGGTTGCTTCGATAAATTCTCTCCGAATTACCTCAAGGGGTGTTACTTTATTTGGAGCCTCTGAGTGACAGATGTTCTGGTATGAAGACGTTTTACTAGCATGTGGTGGTGTAAGTTGATGTTATTTTGATGTCCTTCTTCGTGAGAGTGTATGGGTTGGCAAGAGTGTCGTTTGTATCCATCATGTGACGGTGTTGACTCGCAATCCGGAGGATACGTTTTTTTGTGTTACAGTGGTATGGGTTTTCCTTATTGTATACTTTTGTATGATGTCTATTGTTTTTGTTTCTTGGCCTTACGGAGTAATTATTTTTTAACATACGCTAATGTTCCATTTGCTGTTTGATCACAAATTCAGCCTTACCACCTGAACTTCCTTGGCTTTAATCCTTCTTTTACACAGGTGTACTGTGAATATTTTTCATAATCTTACTCAAGAGTCTTGGTAAGTTGCTGTAGTAGCAATTTTACTTTGGACCTCTCTAAAGAGATCGCTGTTCCAGCATTTGCTTGACTCTCTTTCGAATTCCGGAATACTCAATATTCCATTTTGCGAATGTCAATGATTGAAATGTGCTTCTACAATGACGTATTCAGGTGACTGTTCTACCAGTTTGAGAAATTTCTGAATTTATCTATATAAAATGAATTTGAGTCCTGTACTCTTATGTCAGGAAATGGTTGGTATCTTTACGTTAGTTTCGAAGTGAAGTGCGTGGTTCCTTAGAATTTGTTTTTTTGGTCTCATTGAAATCTGCTCGTGGACCTCTTTTAATACCCATTTTTGGTACGATCATATGTAGACAGAGAAAGGGAGGGGAAATGGTGCCCGATTTCTTTATCCATTCTATTTCAGGGCGCTGATATTGTGTTTCCATGAATTAACTATTTTCACGTTAAACCATCAGATGTATGTTGTGTAGTTTATTGTTATAAATAGATAGAAAAGTAACCTTGGCAAAGATTGGACAAATCAAGATTTGCTTTAGGAAATGTTTCCTCAAAGACTGTATTTTAACAAGAACCCTCTTCTTTTGAATCCCAACTACGGATCATTTTGATAGAGTATCTCTAATGTTTGGTTTGAAGTTGATGTGATTTGAGTTGATGTTACAGCATTTGCCCCTGTTCAAATACTTCCATGTTCTTCAATTTCTTGATGTTCTTATCAAAGGATACAAACAAGAAGAGGGTATTGACTTCTTTGAAACCTTTGCAAAGGTTTCTAACTATGGTCTGATGGTCCATAGTTAGAAATATTATATCTTTGGCTGCTATAAAATTTTGGAAACTATAGCATTTAAATGTGAAAACAACATTTTGAATGATAAATTTAATGATTAGGTCTACATGACATTACCTTTAAAATTTGAAGAATTTGTGAGAAGGAAAATTTTTAAAGACCAAGGATGCCAATACAAGATTTGTAAACTAGAACAAGCTCAGTACCAACTCCCAAAGCTTGGTATAGCAGAATTGTTACCTATCTATGCAACCAAAAACTTCAAAAAAATAATGAGAATCCAAACCTATATATTACAATACATAATAGATAATACACCATCGAATTACTATATTTAGATGATATTATTATAATGGAAGACAACACAAACCACATTTAGAAATTTAAAAGAAAATTGATGAGTATATTCAAAATGACAAATCTTGGGATGCAAAAGTATACTTAGGTATTGAGCTACAACACACCAACAAAGCCACTTATTTTCACCAAAAATAATTCATCAAAACATTATTACAATGCTTAGGATTGAATCACTATAAAACATCATTTGTATTAATGAATCCAAAAATCAAAATACAACAAGAAACTAAGAGACCTAAAGTTAATCCTAAAATGCATCAAAGCCTAATAGAAGGGGCTACTATATACAATAATTAGTGGCTAGGATATACAATTTGTTGTTGAAAGACAATCAAGATATATGAACAAGCCAAATTTACATATCTCATTATTGCAAAAAAGAATCCTATAATACCTCAAAAGCATAATGAATCACAATATTTTCTATTCTACTAAAGATGAAAGAAGTCTACTTACCTTTGTCGACACATATTGGACAAGGAATGTTGACACATTTATCTATGTTAAGAATCCTCTACAAACTTATATCAATACCAATTACTTCATTGAGTAAATTTCAATCAACTATAGATTTTTTTTTTTTTTTTTTTTTTTTTTTTTTCCCCCCAAAGAGGAAGAATATTGCATTTTCTTGGAAGCCACCCACAATAGCATCTACTTCTGCAAATTACTCATAGAATTGTGACTAAATCATGAAGGCCCTACAGTGTTGTTATACAACACGAGCAACATTAGACTAGTCTAAAATCCTATCATAATGAGAAAATAAAATGCATTGAATTGGACAATTATCACATCATACACAAGCATTAAAATGGCACAATTGAAATAAGTTATTCTTCCATGTATTCATAATAAGGTAATATATTTACAAAGGCTTTAGGCTTCATTATTTTTATTGGAAATAGAGAATCAAGTTAGCTAAAGAAAGTACTAACTTAGTTATATAAATAAGAAAAACTTGATTATAAGTAGAGTCTAAAAATACTAGTTTGACTTAGCTTTTATTGCCATAGAAAACATTTTGATTTTCCTATGCTCTAAAGCTTTAATACTTTGCACTTTTGTAACCCTAAATCTGATTCTTACACTCTTATCATGATGTAAACACTCCTTTCATTTAACTGCAACAAATGATGTAGAATTCGAGCAAACATATCTTTGAAGAAAACTCCAACTTCAAAGACCTTCTTAATCGCACTTCAAAAGGAGAAGCAACTTCAATCAAGAAATCCTCTTTATTTTCTTTATAACTTTCATGTAATAAAGCCAACATGAATCAAGATAAATTGAACTAAAGGCTAATCTACATATACATCAAAGGACTACTATAACTAGCTACATTGCAAGGAAGAAGAGCTAAAGTTGAATAAAAAAAAATACATATTAATTTTTTATAGTGGAATAATTTGCTAAAAAAAAATAGACAAAAAAAAATGTCTTACCAATGTCAATTTATTGATAATAATTTGCAATTAATTAAGTGCTTTGAGTAGAGTAATATAATGGTGCCCTATTAAAACATAACAACATGAACACATGTTGAAGAGAAGTATTGGTGATATCCAACTTGCACCCTTATTCATCTATCAAACATCTCATCTATTAATATAAAAGTTATATTAAAATAAAATTATTCTAATAGATCTTTATTGTAGTAAATTATTTCAATTGTATATAATCTTATATCATCTAATGAAATATAGGTTATTATGTACATATCAATAATACAACTCTTGCAATTGAAATATATATTAGACGTCCTATAAAATATTTTTATGTAGCTCCTAGCTTAATAGTATATATAGAAAAATAAGAATGAGATATTTTTTACACTTTTCAAGGCTATTTATGTTCTAAATCTTATTTTAAGAATCTCTAGTTTTTTATCTTTAGTAATAGCCATTCTTGTATTAATTTTATACTATTTTTGACTAATTTTCTATCTTTTCTAATAAGACAAGCATGTACTTATTCTTTAATTTTTTGTAATTCAAGTCTTTTACAATGAGTTTTTATTACCATATAAGAATAAATCTTATTAGATACTTCTATGTATGTTAGCAACAAAAATTGTAATATATAACTAAAATACTTTAAAAATCATCTAGATAAAGAACCACCATCTTAAGACATCCAATAAAAGTATAAATAAAAAAATTAATATTTTTTGAATTTATAATCAATAAAATCATTTTTTTAATAATATAGACCAATATTATCCTGCATAATTTTAAATTTAATTTTTTTTAAAGAAAAAGGTGGTAATAATAAATTACTTAAAAGATTGACATATGGCTATTGAAGACATTTATCACAAATAATAAAAACCTTAACACACTCTTGTTTTATTTGAAAATAATAGATATTTATTTTAAAAATAAATTATTACTAAAAATAAGAAGACTAGAGACTCTCGAATCAAAAATAAAAAATAAAAAAGACATAGATAAGAATAAAAAAGGCTTCACTCTTGCTTTAATATATACTATCTAATTAAGAGCTATATGGCAATATTGTATAGGACCTTCAACATCCATTCAACTTACAAGACACATGTCTAATTTTCTAGATAAGTTTCTTATATATGCACTATATGGCCAATTTGTACTATAAATCATTAATATGTATAATATGTGGCTAACTTTTATTACAAAGTTTCTAACCTACCAATCAATTATAATATATTTAAAATAAAATCTATTTCTATAAAGTTTCTAAAAATTTTATTTTTAAGATATTATTAAATCTAACTATATTTATTTTCTACTTTATACTTCATATCTAAATAATTATGTATTTTCATGAAATTAACATCTCTTCCAGAGATGAATTCCACAAAGAGCAGTGATCACTTGTTAATTAAGTCCAAGATGTGAGAAATTATATTTGTTACATATTTTTATCTTTATATCCTTTTAAGATTATTAACAAATCTTTTCAATTATTAATAATATATCTATCTAAGGTATGAAGACCACCTTGGTATTTAATCATTACTAAGACCTTTGTAACTTTTTTTAAATAAAACATTTGAAATATAAATAGGTATAGTTCCTACTTCTAATGATATTATCAAATATTTAAATTCTCTTTTAATATTGTGATGTTAAATATGTTGTGTCTCACCATTTATTCAAAGAAAAATATATTATTTTTAAACATCTTAATTTCTATTATTTTATCTTATAGATTGTAACAATCTTAATATATTGTCCAATGGCAATTCTTGAGTTAAATCTATTGGTTGTTTATTCTTTATCATTTATTGTAACTTGTCTAATAAGTTAAAGTTCAACTCTCTACAATTAGGTACCTGGTGTATTCTTAGATAGAAAATCATGCCACATAACAATGTTGTGTCAAAATCTTTGTTGTTATTAATTTGATAAGATTTAAGACCTTAGAGAATTTGGTCATATTCCATTGATATTAGAGTGAATGTTAGTTTGTTCTTTGATAGTGTATTGATAGCCATCATTTAATTGGAATTTAATTATTGTGATTACATTGGATACTATTTTTGGGCTACAACAAGCTACTTTAAGAAGTCAATTGAAGGAGAGAAGGTATTATTGTAGCAAAATTTAGCAAAGAAATTATAGCATAGGAGATATGGCTGAGGAATCC